CATACACAGAGCAGTATCAGCTAGGAGAGATTGACGTTCTTATCACTACCTTCCTGCCTGATGTTCTGCTCAGGGCATGTATCAAACCCACCCAATTTTTAGCTGGTCTCCACATGTTGTGCAGGCAGACAGCTGGGGTCGAGCACGGGAGCAGAGGAGCACAGCTCCCACATAACTTTCCTGGCCTCCTACACATTGCGGGCTTGTTCGCTTCCATGTTTCTTTTTGAATGACTGATTTCTGTGGTGGGTTTTTTTGTTTGTTTTTTGGGGTTTTTTTGTTTGGGTTTTTTTTGGTTTTTTGTTTGTTTGGGGTTTTTTTTTTGTTTGGTTTTGGTTTGGTTTTGGTTTTTTTAAAGAATAGATGTTGGGGACTGAAGTGAGATCGCTTTTATGCTTTATTGCCAAAAATAATTGGTTTTGAAATTGGTTTTGAGAAGGCATTTTTGACAATATGTGAGCTATGCAATGGCTTTAGAAGTGAGAAAGTTGGTGGAAAAGGAGTTGAAATGTTGGCTCTAGAGTGACAGGTAAGATAAAAAAGCAAACAAAGATCAGGCACAGCCATTTTAAAATGCTGTTTATTAAACTTGGCACACAAAGAGAGTGACAGTAAGCAAAGTGAGCTAGCCACAAAGACAGTTCTCATGCTTTACCATGGAGGAGATTAAATAAACAAAAGTGTATTTGAATTTGGGGATAACATATGGGGCTAGCAACATGGCTTGGTATAGCCCTAAATGAGACTCATATGTTCACTTTTCCCCCCACTCCTGGGATCTGGGGTGCAATGGTTCAAGGAATCTTTATGTTCTTCCTCTCTTTTTCCTTCTTTGTCCATTTCAAAAGCTGATTGGGAAAAAAAAGACTGTGTGTGTTTGTATGCCTCTGAGAGAGGACTGGAAAATGGCACAGCAGAGACAGAGAATACTGCAAAACGTGTGGATGGTGAGGCACTACTGAACCCGGTCCTCAAACGCTTACCTTCTGCCCTGTGCAGTTGAATTGAGCTCTCACAGAAGCTGGCATCTGGCATCAACTCGAGTGTCTTCCCCTTGGTTTCTAATTTATCCCATTGGATTTTCCGGGAAACGCTTTCCGTGGAAAAGATGGGAAAGATGTTTCACTCTGCAGATTCACTTTGTGTCTTCTGTGGTGTAATGAAACAGGTGCTGTCAGGAAGGAGTGTTTTCATGGTGCAGAGGGTGAGGATGGGATGAATTCAGCAGCAGACAAGAATGGGTTTCTTTTATGTTGTGAGGCAATTTCACATTCCCGCTCCACTTCTCTGGTTGCTCCTACAGTAGGTGGGGAGAAAATTACCTGCCAGGATTTCCATTGTCAGCGGTGGTCTGGGATATTGCTTGTATCTGTGAAAGACTCCACATTTGTACTGGGGCCAAATGCTGTTGTGCTAGGGATGTATAAAAGAGTGGTTAGCAGAGGCTGTGGGAAGTTCTCAGAGGAATGGTATTCTCTTTCATTTTATCTTTCTTGGAAAATCAGACGGTTTAGATTGGATCAGTCTGAGGGACAGTATCCCTTTCCCCAAGTTTCCTTCAAAATTCATTTCCTGGGCAATGCCTCACCCAAAATCCTGCCTAGACCCCAAGAAGAAAATGGCTTGTACAGTGGGCCTGGGGTGAGGGACACAGATCAGACAACAGACAACGAGGCCTTCCTCCCCTGAGGGCTAGGCATCAGTAATCCTTTCTGGACATGATCAGCCCTCACCTTCCACCCTGTAACGCTTCTGAGCCTTCTTTCTTTCACAGTATGTGTAAAAAGGTGCCTATTTCTTTCTCCTGCTGACAAGTGGAGCCTCTCTAAACTGTACGGAGCTGTTACAGCTCCTTGATGACTCGTTGCTCACCTCTGACCCCAGAGAAATAAAGTATTTCAAGAGACTGAGCTGAAAGGGACTTTAGAAGGATAGTAAACACAGCAATTTATTCACAGCAATTAACAGAAATATTGCGGACAGGAAATAATCTTGCTGTATGCCACTTGTAAAAAGGACAGGAGGAAAGGACTGCAAAGGATGTGGCTGTGCAAGTTTTGAAATAGGCAGGTCTTGGCCCTCAGTTTTCAGGTGTCACACTGTGAAGAAACAAGGATCTTTCTCTACCTCTGCAGTCAGGAGTTGCCTTTGAGCAGACCTGATCCACATTTTATGATGTTGTGATTACCTGACTTTGTCATTCCTCTTAGTTCAAATTAAACAGAGCTTAGGATCGGTCCTTTATCGACACCTTGCCAATGGATGCTTGCTTTGACATGCTGTCTTTTTCTGGCCTGGGTAGGAATGGACGACTGTTTTCCACAGTTAAACTTTTAAAGCATACACCCTGTAGGACCTAAAGTGGGGTTTCTAGAATGTACCTCGGGTCTCACCAGCAAGGTCTGCCAAAGCCTGTTTGTATTGTTGTACCTCCCCTGCTCTTCTTCGGGCCTGATCCCAAGTTGCTCTGTGGGTTGTTGGCTGTGCACTGGTGCAACACCTAAGTAGCGCATAAGATAGCTGTCTAGAGGTGCTTGCCCCTCCTTCTGGCCCCAGTTAGCTGACCCTGACCCTGTCTTCCAAAAAGGACACAGCCTTCTCTCCCTGGCTGCTCTGCCCTCTTTCCTGTGGCACGAAGCCACATCTCCATGAAAGGTGCAAGAGGAGGAATTTGGCAGCTGGTGCTGGGGAGGTCTGCGAGAGGAAGGCTGCTGCTTTGAAGTGCGTGTGAGGTAGGCTGGGGTGAGGGAGAGAAGTGGGCTGGTTGTTGTTCTTGGAATGGAGAATGGGGTAGCTGCTTGAAGGGGAGGATGGGGATATCTACTGGGGGACAGAGGCTTGGGAAAGGGAACCAAATCAAGGCACTGGACAGTTTTTCACTCTCCTGTACGTGGTGAAAACTGAGCCGTTCTGAAGAATCCACATGCCCACACATATCCCTTCCTCCAGGCCTTAACTGCACCGCAGAAATACCAACAGTAATATGTGTGCCATCTGCTGAAGTGAGTGAGAAAACAAAGATTATTTCATACTGGTGTCTAGGGGCTCCTCAGAGGAGTGGAGTTAGGTTTGCTGCCCTTGGGGAACACGTGACACCATCCCTCGCAGGCACCGTCTGCTGCTGGCACATGGACCATGTTGAGGAGCACACTCAACACTTATGGCCTGGGCTGCCTGTCTTCTGTCAGCTGTCCCCAAGGAAGCAGAAATGTGGGCTTTTTTCAGGGATGCTGGTGGTCCCTGAGGAATGTACCTGTCTCATGCATGTCTGCTGATCTTCTGGATGCCCTGACATCCTTCCAGAGGGATATTGAACAACTCAGAGGACAAATTTAGTTCAGATGCTGAGGACATTCTCCCTGGCAGGCTGAGCTGACTATCTGGGTGTTAGCTCAGGGTGTAGAAGCCTGCAAATGATCCCCATCTCCTTGCAGATCCTGTTACTGACTTCTTTTGGACCACAGGAGATACACTGCAAATATCTGGCAGATGCCACCCGTGAGAATGCTTGTCTTTTACCATGGGTGATTGAGGGTGTCTATGATGGTGGTTTATACGCAGGCACCACCTTTTAAGTGCCCAAGGTTGGATGTAAAGTGTTCAAATTCATGTGATGTGTAAAATGTGTTCACATTAAATGCCGCGTGTCTTCATGGTGGGTATGTTTAAGGACAAGCTGCCAGGATAGAAAGTTTTCCACAGTTTATATTCTGTATGTTTTTATCAGCTTATGGCTTCTTCTGAGCACAATAATGTTTTTAAATACAACTTGCTTTCCTTTTTAAAAAAATAAGCTTTTGACATTTTTAATAATAACAGAAAGGTTTCGGTTCGCCCAATGATAAAATCATTACAGATATTAAAATGAAAACATTTTAAACATTTTTTTTGATAAATGGATGCTCTCTTCCCCTCATAAGTAGAAGTCAGAAAAAAAACCCCTTACTAAAAATAATTGATGACATAGACCTAATCTGAATCAACTATATGTACATTGCAGAACAATAGCATTAAAAATTAAAGAATAGTAGAAATGGAACCCTAATTTCAGCTTTCAGGAACTGTAAACAGGAAGCAAAAAGCAACTACAGACATTAGGGTAAACCACTATTTTTTTAAGTGTGCATTTCAAAATTAATAAAAAGACAAATGAACAGAAAAAAAACATAATAGACAATAGAAGAATGCAGCTTCCCTTTAGGAAAATATTTTCAGATGAAGGCATGAGGAGGAAATCTATATGGTTTCTCAAAGAAAATTACCTGTGTTGCCCTTTTCTATCAATTCAGGTTAAAAGAAAAATGTTATATAGTCCGATAATACAACACTTCAAATATTCACATCTTGCATCTCAAGGGATTTGGTCTAGAGAATAATTTGTTGCAAATTGTGGTATTGATTTACCTTTCTTCTATTTCTTACTTTTTCCCTATTCTTGAATGTATTTCTATTGGTAGAGGAGATGTTAGAAGCCATGGTTCTCATCACCTGTCCGTCTTAAAGGAAGAAATAATAAGATAGATAGATTCTTCTTCCAGGAATTTCATGACTCATTTCAAAAAGAGGATTGGTTCCTACCTCATCTTCAGAGATCTGAGTAAAAAGGGACTGAGAAATTATGAATTTTATATTGTTGTGCTCTGAAATACAGAGATTTATTGAGTGAGCTGCAAATTCTGAGTGGGATTCCTTTGATGAAATGCAGACACCAAGACATTTCACCTTATCAAATTGAAATAATTTAATGACCACTGAAAAGAAATAGGCACTTTCATTGTGGTCCTAATACAGGTCAGATAAATTCTGTGATCCAGGTCCTTATGTGTTTTCACCGACCACAGTTGGAACTTAAAATAACTAGCTAAAGTTTAGAGACCTATAATGAAGATACTGAAGGTTAGGTGAGATAAACCTTCCCCAGTACCTCAGAGTTCTTCAATTCTGTAAACTACTGTCCCTCAGCTCCAGGCCAGTGTTATTGTGTTAAGTACAGCAAGCTATTAGGAGGACATAGTTATTGTGTCACGGGTTTCCCGTTCATCTTTGTCATCTGCTGAATCTTCAAAGGCCCTCTGGAATGCCAGCCTGAGGGTGAACTTGATTCTCCGATCCCTGTAGCTTCCCACAAGGAAGTAAATGACGGGGTTGAGACTGCTATTCACACAGGACAGCACAAAGCCGATCTCCGGAGAGTAGAGAAATTTGTAGCCCAAGAAGTCAAAGAGAATCAGGACACTCAAAGGCACAGCAAAAATGAGGAAGAAGAGGATGGTGAGCATGATGACGGTGAAGAGCCGGCCTGTTCGGAGGTGTTGGGAGCTGCACTTGACTCTAAGGAAGAGGGTGAGGCTGAAGACCAGCATGAGGGGCGTGCAGAAGAGGAAGTTCAAGGCTCCGATGGTGATGAGCAGGATGTGGCAGCTCTTGGGAGAGGGGCGAACAGTACACAAAACATACCCAAGCATGTTCAGCAGCAGGGAGAGACCCCAGAGCAGGCCGGAGATGATGCTGGACAAGAGCTTTGGGCGGTGGCTTCGGCACCAGATTGGACAAAGCACAGAAAGGCACCTCTCAATGCTGATGGTGGTCAGGAGATACAAGCCTGTCCCATACATGAAAAGATCCAGGAAGAGGAATATCCCAAACTGCACCCCCACATTGAATTGCATCAAGTACTGAACCGTCTCAATGGCGATGCAGAGGAGATACCCAAAATCAGCAACGGCCAAGTTCAGGATGTAGACAGTGAAGTGGTTTCTCCGGATGCGGAAGCCAAGGTACCAAATGACCATGCCATTTCCCACCATCCCACAGGCAGCGCTGATGAGGCAGAAGCTCTCCATGAACTTGAGGACAGCGTATGATGCCTCTGTCTTTCCCACAGCCACACTCTGGTTAGTCCCATGAGCCTGGCTGGTTGCAGTTGGAAGGAAGATTGCTGTAGTTGAAGTACTCATAATGAGTGATTTCAGACAGACCTGTAAGAAGAGAGGAGAGAGGTGGTAACTCCAGTGTGACTTTGCCTCATGGTGACCTGGTGGTGTTTCTGGATTTGCTCCAGCTCTTCGTAGCCGGAGTTTAGGGAGGCATTGCTGTGGTTGCACTCAGAGCATGGAGCCCTGTTCAAAGCACTCTATCTAAAGCCAAATTCTATATGACATATAGGGAAAGTTAGATCGCAGTGTATTTCTCCCTTTTTAAAATTAATTTCTTGAGGTTCCTTTTTGCACTCAGTATTGGGAACAAACATCTTAACAAGCATTTATAGCTTAGATTAATCATGTCTGAATCTTGTCTGAATAAAAAGAGGACCCAGTGTTAACAACTCTGGGATAATTGTCTTTGCTTCACGTAGCTAGGATTAGGTGAGACAAATCTTGTCAAAAGTGTATGAAAGTTCTAGGCAATCAGCATATACGTTTAATCAGCATGAAAGATGAAAGAGTTTTGTCCCATGCATATGCTCAGAAAACATGGTAGAGAGTACTCAAAATAGCTGGTAGTTTTTTATGTCGATGACTGATTTCTGTTTTAATAAAGGGTTAATTTAATGTGGTTGGTTTATTCTCTTGAGCCCTATGTACAGACAATAAACAATTCAGTCTGACAAAGTCAGCCCTTAATAACTTCCTTCTCAGAGAGGAACTGTCAGAACCATGTGTGGGATAAAATGTCCAACCCTCACAAGACATTGGAATTATGGCTCAAATAATTATTTCACCCCATTCCCTGAGGCAGCTCGCCCTGCTTCTTCCCCCATGATACTGGGATCTGAATGAGAATCTTAAAAAAAAAAAAAAAAGAGATTTCACACCTTTTTTTTTTGTCTGATGAGGTCAAACAGCGTGACTCTCTTCCTCTCTCCCCACCAGCTATTAAGATGATACTGGGTGATAAAAAAAAATTTTAAAAAAAAAAAAAAAAAGAGATTTCACACCTTTTTTTTTTGTCTGATGAGGTCAAACAGCGTGACTCTCTTCCTCTCTCCCCACCAGCTATTAATTTTGAAGTGGGAAGGTAGAGAAGTGTCTTCAAAGACAGCAGAAGACAGTTAAAAAGAAGAGAGGAACAAGCCAAAATAGGGAGAGCTAGGAAGATGTGAATCATTGAACAGTCTAACCAGCATGAATAGTCTGTTCTCTCTTTGTAAAACGCTGCAGCATGCATGGAGATAGACTTCCATAAACAAGTGAAATGTGACAGATTGAATCATTATTGTTTCATCTCTGCACCCCAGACACACTGTCTTTGGTGCTGCATGGATAGAGGCAAGATAAGTGCCTGATGCAGATAATTTCCTTGGCCAGCTGATGGCCTGGAACAGAGGAGACAATCCTGCTGCATTAGTCCATGGAAGGCACGTACGCCAGCAGTGCTTGGTTGGGAATCCAGCTGGGACCGTTAAATCTGGCTTCCACCATTAAAAATGAAAACAACTCATTTTTCACTGCCTTTAAAGCTGCCATTTGAATTAATGGAGGTTTATGAGCACCACCAACAGCAAAGTATTTTATCCTAAGATAGCTGTCTTCGGTAGGTGTGCAGTCACCTGCCCATCTTTGCGGACTGCAGATACGTTGCAGAGTGCCAGCTTCAGTGAGAAGATTAGTGTGTGGACTGCTGAAATTAGCTGAGGCGAATTCCACCCTTGGCTTGCAGGATGTGAAACCTTTAGGGTTGACCAAAACCAGGGAACTTCTGGCACTGCACCATACTCTTATATAGGAAGCTGGATGATCCCATCCTCAGCTGCTACGGGACCTCGAATGTTTTGAGCGTTAAGACTTTAGAGACCACTGGTCTCTAAAGAAAGAATTTCAGTACATACTGAAAGGGACTATGGAAAACAAAATCCATCATCTCCTTCAGAATGCACAGAATCTCTGTTGTAGCACAGTTTCACAACAGGAACATCCCTGAGTTCAGATTCACCTTCTTTTTCCTTATCTGGGGAGGGCAGCATACTGCCTGACCAACATCACCAGCAAGCTTACCTCTTCCCTGAACATCTGTAGCAAGCAAATTGAAAAGATACAGCCTTATGTCTTTGTTCACTTCCTCACTACCTGTTTTGGGGTGGCAGCAAATTATCAGACCTTGATCCACAGTACAAAGCAGCTGAAGCAGCCTCTAATGCTGTGAACCAAGTCTGATGTGACGAGAGAGGAAGACCCGGTGGTTAAATGGTTTCCTTTAGAAAGACCTTTAGCAGACCCAGTGCAGCACTACCCTCTGCCACAAGCTATCTGAAGCAAATTTCTAATTGATTTGAAGAGGACACAAACATTTGGGTGTCACTTAAGCTCTGTCTAAGCCCACTCCAGCCTTCTGACCATGTGCCTGCTTTAGGAAAGCAGCTATTCTACCTCCCTGCAGCAGTCATCTCCAGAAGGCAGTTTACCTCATCCTCCAGAAGTGTGTCTCTCTCCAGTGAGCATTCAGGGAATGACAGGTGATTAGTTGTCTAACTTAAGCTCGTCAAGCATATTTCTTAATGTTAAGTGACATCTCCCTGTCCCATTGATCATGTGGGATCACATGCATATATGATATTCTATGATATTATGCATATATGCATAAGGATTGCCAGGTACTGACATGACTGTAATGGATGCCCTGCAGAACAGTGACAAAACATCAATAGTTTTGCCTTCCACTGTAATGGAAGTGAAGGAATCCTTCTCTGACTTCTGTAGACCATGGAAAAGAATACCGAAAAAGACACTCACAGTTCTCATATATTTATTTATGACTTTGGAAAGACTGATTTCTTCTTGTCTCCAAGACAAGTTTGTGTCTCCAAGGCATGTTCAAGATGTGAGTCTACTTCCTTAACGAAACTGATTAATGAAAGCTTGCATCAAACAGCAGCAGACTGAGGCTAGGTGGTCTTTTTCTCTCTTGAGATTAAACATCCTGCCTGTGATTTGCATGCTGAGTACCATGTAGTTCTTGTTGCAGATGTCAGTCTGAACAACCTTGACACCACAAAGACATTTTAGACTATGGGCACAAAGTTAGGATGTTGCATTTTTTCTTGACTAATGTCAAGTGATCATTTAAGACCAAAACTGTTAATCCTAGGTCTCTGAATAATGGCATCTTGTATTACAGAGGTGTACTTAGAGCAATTCAATAGCACTTGTTCATGGAAAAAGGTGCCCAGAATTGAGTTCTCCTTATCTTGAAAATGATAAAGGCATTTGCTTACCTATAGCCAATTTCTAACTAGCAAGAGAAGAAGATGTTGCATCTCCTTTCCTCCATTTTTTTCCTCCTCCCTTCCCCTCATCGCCTCTCCAAAAGCATGACAGAAAACATTAGACAGAGTGCAACCCCAAAGATGCCATCTAGGAATTTCTCACCTTTTTGTGGGCTCCTTGGAATTTCAGCGACTGATTTGCAGCAGCTGCCTGGTATAGATCTGCTGGGTAAAATTGTCACCTGCGTTCTGTGACATACAGTCCAGATAAAATCCTTATGTCCTACTGTAGCGCTGGGCTAGTTTGACAGTGCTTAAAAAGCCACGGTCTTCTCGACGTGACAGCTGACAGCCAGCCAATCACTCTCTTGGGGAAATAACTATTTTGTTGTGTGTGGTCACTTAGGGAACTACTTCCCCCTTCCCTCTGTGTACAGAACCTGCCACTGTCATGTTACTACTTCTCACTTCTTCAGCCAGTCTCACAACACGAAGAAACCAAGAACTGTCTGTACAAAATTATACCTTGCCTCTTGCACTGATGCTTTGTTTCCTACTCATGTCCCTGAGGTGTTCCAGTTTCACAGACCTTGAAGAGGATGCCTTACTGCTGCTCAGGGTCACATAGATTGAGAAATTGTCAGTCCTCTTCCATAACGCCTGCCGATGATTTCACAACATCCCTCAGCACAACTTCTCATTCCCCAAGGGCCTATTGTCCCTACCAAACTTGCCTGAACACACCCATCACCACCGAGTGTCCTCTTCTGACCCACAGCCTCTTCCAACACAAGTTACCACCCTGCTTCGTCCCTACTGCTTCACACAACCTTTCCTGGACGAGGGTCCACCCAAACTCCATAGCCTTACCACACCTCAACAGATAAGATTGCCCAGCCTCTGCTTGTGCTGCTTTCAATACCCACTGCCCGCTTCTGATGTCAGGAGCATTTTCAATGCAGCTTCACACCCCACAGTATTACCTGCCACTTCACAGTGTCTTTCAGCACAGTCCTTCACCACACCTCAGGCACTTCTGATTTCACAAAATCCCTCAAGACAGACTCCAGCCTTGTGCCTTCCATTTCCAGTTTCACAGCTTCCCCCCAAACAGTGCCTCAGCCCCATCCTGCCCACCATCAAATTCACACCTCTTCACCACCTCACGTCTCTATCAAGACAGCCCCTTGCCAGTATTCACTACCCACCCACAACACCTCACTCATCTTCTCACTATGCACAGTCCCCTATGTGCATGAGCTACCACCACCACGGTGTCCAGATCCACGTGCAAAGTAAGTGAAATCAAAATGGAGAAAACACCTTTCTCCTTTCCTGGCAGCAAGAACATTCTTAGGGGGAACAATTGTGCAACAGGAGACACCAGCAACTCTTGATTTGGGCTTGTGCATTAAGTCACTTCTGCTAGTCCGTTTGGCTAGGGAAATAAGAGACACGAGTATGACGCTAGCCAAATTGCTGCCATGTGTGTAAGTAGGTACAGAAACTGGCAGATCTGGCCTAAATTAACTTAGCAGACCAGATACCTGATGGTTCATCTTCAGCTTCTTCTGTCATTTGTTGTTCCTCTTCCTTTCCCAAAGATTGTAAGATTGTTTTTACTTTCTTACCCAATACTCTGTTTCCTATAGTGACTACTGTTAACCCTTATTAACCTGGCCAGGACTCCAGGCTACACTCTAAGATGATATTTAAGTTAGAGGACTATTTTCACCCAGAGCAGTATTTAACCTC